TCCCTCAGTCCCTGATTTCCAGCCCTTCCCTTCGCTCCCTGATTTCCAGCCTTTTCCCTCAGTCCCTGATTTCCAACCCTTCCTCCCCACCGTGATTTTCCACCCTTTCCTCTCGGTGCCAGATTTCCAGCCTTTCCCTTCGATCCCCGCTTTCCAGCCCTTCCTCCAACCCCCAATTTCCATCCCTTTGCCGCGTTCCCCCGGTTTCCATCCCCAGCCCGGACCCTCCGGGTTCTCCCCCCGGCCCCGCCGCCCCCTCCCCGAGCCCCGCCGTCCCCCCCAGCTCCTTACGTGTTTCAGGCACCGCTCCTTGAGCTTCTCCACCGTGGTGTCCTCGGGCACCTCCTCCAGCCACTCCGCGCCCTCCATGGTGCACACATGGACCCTCAGCACCTTCCCCGCGAAGATCTTCTCCTCCTGCACGTACATCTCCCCCTGTGCCGCCGCTCCCGCCGCCGGCGGCGCCTCACCAGGCCCGGGGCAGGGCGGCGCGCTGCCGCCCGCCCATGAAGGAGCCCCGGGGCGGCCCGGGGGCGCAGGCGGAGGCGGTGTCCGTGCCCCGGGCGGCCCCGAGCGCGGTGTCCCCGCCGGTGTCACCGCCCGGGCCCCGCCGCCCCTCCGGGGACACGGCGGCGCTCCCGGAAACGGAACTGCGGCGGGCGCGGGGCATGCCGGGAGTTGTAGTTCCGCCGCCGCGGGCGCCCCCGGAAGGGGCAGCACCGCCAACACCTGGGCTCGTAGTTGAGCTTTTCTTCAGCGCTTAATGAACCCTTAACACACCCTTAACAAACGCTTAATGAACATTTAATAATGCTCGATAACGTTTGATAACGTTTAATGACGTTTAACTACGTTGAACACCGTCCGTTGCCGGCCCCGCGCCGCAGCGGTGACTGTGCGGCGGCCCCGGTGCATTGTGGGACGGCGCGCGGCGGGATCCCCCGCGCTGCCCCCCGGTGTATGCCGGGAGTTGTAGTTCCTGGCCGTGAGGGGCTCGGGGGGCCCGGGCAGCGATGAGGGGTCGCGGACACCCCCGAGGGCACCGTGGGGACCGAGGGGACCGGGGCAGCCCAGCGGGAACCTGCGGGCTCGGCCGCGGGCACCGCGCGTCCCCCCCGGCCGCCGTTAGGGGGGGCCCGCGAGCCGCCGCTTCCTTGCCCGCTCCCGTCCCTGCCCGTGGGATTCGGCTCCCAGCGAACGCGTATTGTTTGTTTGTTTGTTTATTTATTTATTTATTTTATTATTAAAATTTTTTACGTGCCGTGTTATTTATTATGCCTCGTGCCCGAGCTGCACCGACCTCTTGGCTTCAGGTTTCGCCAGAGCCGCAGAGCGAAGTTTTCCCGAGTTTAAATTCCCTGTTTATTTAAATTAAAGCAGTAATGAAGCTGCTGGATTTTTATGGATGTATTAAATGGAGCTGTACTTGTCCTGAAAATATGAGGAATATGCCATAGTTTCCCCCCCGAGAGTGAGCACTGCAATATTCATGTTACACAGGGTCTGGAGTTGGCTGAAGGGCAGCCAGAGCTCCCTGGAAGGAATAAATCCAGGCGGAATTAGCAGACCCAGAGACAACAAAACAATAAAGTGTTATGTGAGAAGGAGCTGAGAGCTCTGGAGAGTCAGAACTCCATCCCACCAAAAGGCAGAGTTAGTTTGGGGCTGTCAAACGCTGCTGCAACCCAGGGATGCCTCTCTGGGGGTCTCTTTGCATTTATTCCATGCTGGGCCAGCAGCTCCCAGGGGCCAGACGGGACATTTTCCTTCGTGTTTTCCAAGGATTCCCATCCCTTTCTGCCGTGGCTCAGCCACCAGCTCCAGAGCCCACGAGAGGGAGCAAATTCCTGCTCAGCAAACCCCGCCGGCCTCCAGGAATAACGACGCGGAGTTTCCCTCCCAAAAGCGCGTCCCTGGAGCGCCCACGGGGGTCACACGAGGGGATGGGGCTGGTCCTGGGGCAGTGAGGTGACCCCAAGTACAGGGAGCAGTGGAGTGATCCCAAATCCTTGGGATCCAGGTACCAACTGCTCAACACGCCCCGGCCACCAAATCCACCCCGAGAACTTCTCTTTCCTTCTGATTCCCAGCGTTTTTTGCTTTCCCTGTTCCATGGGGGGAGCTGGAAATCCGGACACCGACTTGGGAAGGCACTACTTGGTGCACCCCCGCAGCCACTGTTGGGGAGAACAAGGATAAGGTTTTACTGGGAGATGTTTTAAGCCAGCCAAGGAACATGGGATGATTTCCCAGCAGGTTGAATTCTGTGGTGAGCTCCTGGTGTGTGGAGGATGTTCCACAGCCATAAGGGAGCTCTCAGCAGTCGCTGCTGCAAGGACAAGCAACATTTGGAGATGAATCTGGAGCTGAGGCAGAGAAAAAAGGAGATTTCTGCTCTCTGGCTGTATCTCGAGTTGAAACAGTGCTTGCCTAACACAAGTGGAATACTTTATTTTCATGCTTTGAATGCAGCTCCTGTGTGCTTGATAAAATGGGCCCATAAAATTGCAAATACAAGGCAATTTGACTACTGATGGCTAATGCATCATAACGGCCATGGGAATGGGAGCATTTAAAAATACCCCATTTAAACATGTGGCACTACCTCCTTCCCTTGCTCTACAGCAGAATAAATAAACAATATGTGTCTATTATGTTAATATTGTCCAAAGCCAAAAGAATGAGTGCACAATGTGCTACTTGCTTTTTATAGCCAATCCATTATGGCCACAGACCAACGTGGGAATGAGAAAAGGGGGAATCAACAGCTCCTTTCCTTTGAGGAAAGGCTCCTTTTGTTTTACATCTCCAGGTGAATTATTTTCCAGGAACTTTCTCCATTACCCAACTTTGCCCCCCTGGAAGTGTTCCAGGCCAGGTTGGATGGGGCTTGGAGCAACCTGGTCTGGTGGAAGGTGTCCCTGCCCATGGCAGGGGGTGGGATGAGATGGGCTTTAAGGTCCCTTCCAACCCAAACCATTCTGGGATACCAGGATTCAAAGAGGGCAGGGGTGGGAGCAGGACCTGTGTTCTCCACAGTCTGTGTCTCTCCTGGGCTGATTTCTTCCCTTGCAAGGACTCCAAAGAGCTTATTCCAGACCAACCAGTCCCGGCAGAACGGGAACATCCAGCTCAGGAAAGTCCACACCAACAAACCCGTAATACCTTTTAAATTGTCTGTGAGTGGGAGGAAGAAAAGAGAGTGAAAATCACACATAATCCCCCTTCCTCCCCCCAGCTTTTCCTGGGCAATCACAGAATTTAGCAGGACAACTCCTGTGGGATGCTCCATCATGTCATCCACGACTTGTGTATCGACTCCCTTTTCCTGCTGCTGCCGAGTGAAGAAATATGAGAACGGGAGGGATAATGAAGCAGACGTTTTCTCCAAATCAAACCCATTCTCCCTTCAGCTGGGATAAAAGGGTAAAGAACTTCCCCTTCACGATATTTCTCTCAGTAATGTGTTTTGACAATTTAATTTAGAAGTCATAGAGTAGCAAAGACGAAGTCACCCGGTGGGTGGACACCGGCGAGTTCAGTTGCCTTTGTGATGAATTGGTGATAGTCCAGAGATGACAAAACAACACAGGGGGACAAGAGGGAGGCTGGCAGCACTGTCTGCAGCGTGCACAGGATAAATTGAATGCTACACTTCATCCAGGAGCTCCAGCAGTCCCAGGCATCCCGACATAATTTATGAACTGCAATTAGCATTTTATTACGGCTCGTGCCCGAGCTGCACCAATCACTCGGGTTCAGGTTTTGCAAGAGTTGCACAGCAAAGTTTTTGTAAGTTTGAAGTACCTGTTTATTCAAATTAAAGCAATAAATATGCTCAAGAGGTGGCTTTCCTGTTTTCCAGCTGCAGAGGTTGAGAGTGTGGGTTTCTTGCTGAGGATTTTAGCAGCTCTGACAGCAGACACGTGTCCTGCTTGTGATGGACAGCCTGCCCCAGGAATGCTGTGGGATTGGTGCAGGATCACCAGCAAAGCAGCCACGGGAAGCACCAGGATCTGTCTGTGCCCAACAGCCCCAGTTTGGGATCTCAGCTGTGCCCGTCACCCAAGCTGGTGCCTCACTGTGCCACAGAGGAGCCCCCGCTCTCACCTGCCCTCTGAGCCCTCTCTCTGTGTGGCTCTGAAGCCCCACGGGAGCCCCATCCTGATGGTCTGAGGCTGATGGCTCCCAGATTTGTTTCTCCTTTCCTGAGACATGGAAACTTCTGTCTCTTGCCCCTTGGCAACTTCCCCAGCCAGACGGCAGAAGAGCCACCACTCCTGCTCCTCCCCTCTCCATCCCAGCTGGGGAGCAGTGCCCCTCTGTTTCCCCTGCCCTGCAAACAGAGGAGCATCTTAAAAACCTTTCTGAAAAGAGTGTCTGAAGTTGGAAACTGGAAGAATTGGTGGGCAACAACCACCAGAATGTCATTTCCAGCACTGGTTCAGGACCCACAGCACCTCAGAATCCCTCTGTCCCATCCAGCTTTGCCTGCAGCTGACATCCCAATGCAGGGACACGCAGATCTGTTGTACAATTTAACTCCAGAATCGCTCTGAAAGGCCCCCGACTGTGCTCCAAACGACTCTGCAGGTTGTTATAAATATACAAAGCTTTTTGTGGGGATATTCATGAAATTCTATCACCGCTTACCGGGGCTGGTAATGGCCTTGTTTATGTATGGGCTCTATACCTGGCTTTGCAGCCTCTCCAAACACAATTCCATTACGCTGTTTAACTGCTCTATCAGTGCAGTACTTAGCTCTCCCTGCTTCCCAGCACAGCTCCTTAATGGCCAGGGAAGGTATTAGGCGCTGCAGTTTGTGAGTATTCAAAAGAAAGTTCAAATCTCACGATGTCTTTATTTTAAAATTCATGGAATTTCTAAGTACCAACTTCTAAGCCATGACCAAATAGTCATTTCTTTCTTAAACAATCTTTTTTCCCCCTCCTCCTTCTCCTCCACCAGTTAACTTGCTCTCTCCCCAGCAGGACCCGCAGCTCTGCAGGTGCCAGTCCCTGCCTGTGCCACTGCAGGGTCACCAACACCCTGGGGGTGCCCACCAGCTCTTTGATGCCCAAGAGCAGCCACAGCCCTCATCAACCAGGGGGGCATTGCTCTGGGGGCACTGGGGTGGTCGCTTTGGGGGTTTGAAGGCAGTGTGGGGCAGGGGACCAGCCGTGCCCTGCCCGGGGAGCGCTGGGTGGGCAGCGACCAGGGGAGAAGATCAAGGGGGAAAAGGGAATTAGAATTCAGGGGATATTTAAAAGGATGTGCAGTCCCTGTGAGAGAAGGGCAGCAGGATCAGGCCACTGGGGGTGGCAGGGGCAGGAATCATCCCTGAAGTCATCCCTCATCCTCAGCTGTGATGGGGTGACCCGGCTGGGCAGTGCCACCAAAGCTGCTCCAGCACCACCACCCCTGCAGCCTCCCAGCCCCAAACCCTTGCCATCAGTACATCAGCCCTTTCCCTTTTGGCACTGCACGACCCAGTTCCCAGATTTCTTTCCTAAACTGAGAAGAAAACCCTTTCAACCCCGTATTTGAAGTCCCACTTCCCACACAGGAATGATGAATCCCCACATCCCCCCCCCCCCCGCCACATCCATCAGGTGCCGTTTAACCTGAGACTGTCACCGTGGCATCTGGGTGGCAGGAGGCAGCCGGGAGGATTTGCCTTCTCTTTTTTTCCAGCTGATCCAGAGCGTTTTCTCATTTCCTCGTGTGTTTTGGCAGAATGTCACAATTTAATTGTTGGAAACAAGAGCAGGAAATATTAGCAGCACTGGCACAATAGGATTTTAATTTAGCTTCAGGACAGAAATGGGGCTCTAGCAGAGTGCCAGGCTCCAGGATTGCCTGTGAGTACAAGGAGCCTGGAGTTTGCCTAATAGTTTGCACAACTGGGGTAATTCTGCAGGGATGTGAGGGACTTAATTGGGCTCATGCTTAAACATCCTCGTAATGCGAGGCACACTGCGTGCTCTCAGCATCATTATTAAACAGCCCATTTCACTTTTTAATGATCATCTTGGATCACTGTAGCAGTGATCAGCAAATAATCCTGGACAAATAAACATCTGTCTTCAGTGTTCCCACAGCCAGGGCTGCCATTGGGCTCTGAGTGAGCAGGGACAGCCATGCCCCCAGCCCCAAGGGAGCCCCCAGTAGCTCCCCTCTGCCCAGTGCCCTTCATCTCACTGGTGGGCTCAGAGGTCAGGGTTGCTCCTCAGCACCAGGAACCCCTCGGGACACCAGAGTGTGCCCCAAACACCACAGGGCTGCTCACCCAGGGGGGGTGTCACCGCCCTCCTTGACACTGAGGTAAAATACGGGGCATCCCTGAATTATTCACTCGGTGAGAGGGGCTCTCAGGATGGTGTGTTGCTGTTCTGCAGTGTAATTAATAGTCTTTAGATTAAATATGAAATCATTCCTCGTCATTAATAATTTAGCCGCAGCGTGGCGATCGTTAGAGAGCAGCAGCACTTCATATTCCTCTCCAGTCTGTTGCCTGGAACGCTTTGGGGGAAGCCGGCTGCCCTTCCATCCATCTCAATTACAGCTCCTGGCTGCTCATTTCCTCCTTGAACATTGTTTTGCCAAGGTGTAAAACTCTTCCGCTGCTCCCGAGCCGGTGCTGAGCTGTGTCCGCGTGTCCTGGAAGTGAAACAGTGTCCGTGTGTCCTGGGAGTGAGGGGTTGGTGCTCCACACCCACAGTGACCTGCTGTGGGGTGGAGGTACCAACCTCTGGCACTTCCTAAGATGTCTGTGCTCAAGTGCCATGGGTTTTTGGGTTGGATTGGGCTCAAATGGATCTTCCACCTTCCTCTGTGTGGGCCTCAAGGAGGGTCTGAGACAGCAGAGGGAGGAGGAGGGATGGAGGCACCTGCACTGCCACCCTGCCACAGCTTTTGCCACCATACCAGTTACCTCGACCACCAGCACCAGTCTGACTCCACAGCACAATAGCCTGGTTCCTATAATTCCCAGAAAGCAGGAGCTGACCCACCTCTCCTCCACCTCTTCCAGCCCCCAGGCCCCGCTGCTGTGCTTTTGCAGGCAGGATGGGGATGGTGGTTTTTTGCTAATGCTGACAACTCCCATAATTTAGCTTTACACCAGCACTAAAACTGGAGAAAAAATTCCTGTCCTGGGACATCTGTGGCGCAGTTGTGGCTGAGGGAGGATTTACGTGCAGCCCCAGCAGCTCCCAGCAAGGAAAACACCCCCAGTGCATACGGAGAGGAGTAACAGCCCCTGAACTATCCCCAGCCAGGAAAGCAGCCATCCCAGTGCTGTTCCCTGTGGGCACAAACCCCAGCTTCACCTTATTCCAGCCTGACCAGTGGGAAAGGAGGGGGGAAAGCCCCATCCACACCCTTCAGTGATGTTGGTGGGCTCCCACCTGGGTGCTGGACTCCATCTGGTGCAGGGTGTGAGGACGCCCTGGGGGGAGCAGGGATGCTCAAGGGCAGGAACGAACAGCAGCCTGGGCAGATGGATGGCTAAATCCTCCTGGAGACGGGACCTGGAGGAGGAACATTTTGGAGCCCGGTGGTGCCAGGCTGGGTCTGTGCCAGCAGCAGCTCCGGCGGGTCCCTGCCTTTCTCCGAGCGCCGTAATTCCTGCTGCCGAACAGCAAACAAATGTTACACAGCTGCTGCAGTAAAACCTGGAATCAAAGCCAAACCCCCCGGGGGTGCCAGCAGCGAGGAGGGATGAAGGGGCAGGATGAGGCCGATCCCAGGGCGGGGCAGGGAATTGCAGCCCTGGGCTCAGCAGGGCTCAGGCAGCGGCTCTGGGGGTCCCGGCGAGTCCCACGGCCCCGGCAAACCCGGGTGCTAAATGTCACCTCTCCCGGGGAGCCCTAAATATCCACATGGCTGCTGTAACCTTTATGGAGCCCTCCTGATTCACCGCGAGCTGTTACAAGAGGATAAACTTGTTTGCACACCTGGCTGGGTTTTAAATAGGTTTAATTCCTTTGTGCCTCTCCGCAGCTTCCCCCGATGAGTAAATGACTTGTCAGCTGTCGAAGGCTGAACGCGGCTGCCTCCGAACTGCCCCCGCACTGCTTCCCCACCGGCAGCATCCCCTGGGGTGCCTGGGAGCTGCTCGGGCAGGGGGCGAGCTTGGCCAAAAATGAGGGGCTGGCCCCGAAATGCTGCTTTCCATGGGGTGGGAGGATGTGGGGTGATGGGGGAGGAGGGTGGCAAGAGGCCAGAGACACCTTAGGGGCTCAGAAAGCTTCTGGGGGAGCCCCATTGTGTTGGGCATCCTCCCAGGAGGGGCTGGTCCCCAAATCCCTCTCTGCTGAATAATTGGATCCCCAAATCCTACAGGGAGAGCGGCTGCAGTGATGGGAAAGGTGCTGATCTGGTGCTGACAAGGAGAGGGTGACCCTGGGGTTGGATCTGTCCCTAAATCACCCCAAAGGTACCACGGTGGTGTCCCCAGGTGGGGTGCAAGGGGCTGGGAGAGCTGAAGGTGGTGAGACCTTGGGCATCCACTCATTGGGGCTTGGGGAGCTGGGGCTGGAGAGATCCCAGGCATCATCCTACTGGTGCTGAGGGGGCTGGAGGGATCCCAGGCATCATCCTGTTGGTGCTGAGGGGGCTGGAGGGACCCCAGGCATCGTCCTGTTGGTGCTGAGGGGGCTGGAGAAATCCTGGGCATCATCCTGCTGGGGCTGAGGGAGCTGGAGAGACCTCAGGCATTCACTCACTGGGGCTGTGGGAGCTGGACACGGAGACACTCCAGGCATCTTCCCATGGGACTGGGAAAACTGGAGCTAGAGAGACCCTGGGCATCCTCCTGCTGGGATTGGGGGAGCTGGAGCTGGAGGGATCCTGAGCATCCTCCCACTGGGGCTGTGAGTGCTGCTGGAGCAGCGATTCCTCGTTAAATCGGACACAAAACCAGGCAGGGATCACAGAGTGGGTTTCCAAGACCTGTCTTGTTTTAGGGACCCTTCTGCATGGTACAGTGGGATAGAAAAACAGGAGCATAAGGAAGCATATTAATGAATATGGAAAACTTCTCTTTGGGTGCTGCGCACTCATAAATGAATCCACTTTATAGAGCCATAGCAGAGAGGAAATGACTATTCGGAGCCTGATTTATCTGCTCAAATGCTTTGTAGTACTTCAGATTAATAAAAATATTTAATAAAGAATCAAGATGCTTTATCTGTAATGCAAAGAGAATCACATCCCCTGTATTTTTATTACTGAAAAATTGGAAGCGGGAAGGAATAATGATATAAGCCACTGTATAAATGACAAAAATACCCATTCTAGTTATATGCATTGCTGTACAATCTTTTTCTATCCTATAAACATAATATATTCTTATGCCTATTTCAACTGATTCAGTAGTCATATGCTGCATTGTGCAGTTTAATACCATCCCGTCCTCAACAGCTCTGGCAAGTGATTAAATAAGAAATAAATTTTGCTGTCATTGCATTTAAAATCAAATCAAGGATCATTTGTTACCCCAAACGAACCAGTTATCCTGCTCTGCTCATAAGGAGGCTGCTGTTTGCTGAAGCATTTAGAAATGTATATATAGTAAACTCTTTGCATAATGGCTTGTACTGTAATATGATCTTTATGAGCCTCCCGCTCCGGAGACACTCGGCAGCGCCAATAAACAGCACATTGCTTTTTTAATTTAAAGTTATAGGTATGAGACGTTTCATATTCTCCTGGTGTTCATCTGAGCCTTGTTGGCCGTGCCACAAAACTGGGGGCAAGGCTTTGCATCCCACCAGTGTCCCCCAGAACCAGCTTGGAATCACAACAACCCCCCCCCCAGTGCCGGAGGGTCCTCCCTGACGTCTGGAACAGCCATGGAATCGCTGCCCCTGCGGAGAAATCCAGCAGCACCAAACCCCAGCCGTGGAGGGAATACACCCAGGAGGGAGAGACAGAGTGTCCCATTCACCAAGTCCATTAAATTTAATGTCACCACCTCGTTAATGGCCCCTCGCATTATAATGTGTAATATAAACGTACAAATTAATTGCGGTACCTTCTAAAGCTTCTTTAACTGCTGCTGGAATGAAACCTTGCTAATAACCATAATTTCAAAGTCCATTCTTGTTAGGGGATTGTGTCTGGCCAAACTCCTTTTGTTGGCTCGTTATTTTAATTTCTCTCCTCCCCAGGAATTGCCATTTTTTGACGACCTGCACGTCATCATTGGGATTTACCTGAGAGCAGCTCCTCTTTCCTGTGGGATTCCTCATCCATGGGCAAGCCTATACTGATGGACCATCTGCCTCGTGCTCCAGGTGTGAGAAAAAGCCCGTGGTGGGACCCTTTTTCCTTAGAAATAAAAAAAACAAAAGAATTTTCATTAAAAAAATGACCATTGTAAGAAAAAGGGGGTTTCCTGGGGTGCCCCGAGTGGATTTGGGCACCTCTGCTGGCTCCCAGCCCCTCACCATCAGCCACAGACCCACCACGGACCCCCCCAACCCCACTGGGTAAATTATTTGTTGCGAATTATTTGCTCAGCTTTAATTATCAAGTTTTGGCACCCATTAGTTAAACCGGTTAATTTTATTACAGAGAAAACAACAAATCACACGGCTGACAATAATGAGGATGAACAGGCATTTAATTATCCTTGTTCTAGACAGAACAATTATTAATTTTAAATTGCAAAAACTCATTTGAAAAGTTTGGAGCCTGGAGAATTATCGTGGGGAGCAGAATATTGCTGGGGGAGATCTATGGTCAGAGGCTTCATTAATACCAGGAATTCCAGGAAATCAATTCCTGCACCAGCCTCTTCCTCCCTGTTGGAAAGGGCAGGAATAAAACTAATAAACTTCTGTGGGGAGGTTTTGTTAGAAGAGGTTTTAGAGTCTCTCTTGCACTCACTGCTCTTGTGCTGCAGCTGGATGGGTTTGCACCCTAAATTAAATTAAATTTTATCCTAAATTAGGGAATGGGACCCTCTGGCCTCAACACACGGCCACGTGGCTGCAGTCACAATGTCCCCAGTGAGGATGACAAAGGCATGATGTCCCCAGGAATGATGTCCCCAGGTGGGAACGAGGAAGACACGATGTCCCCAGCTGGGGCAGGAGCAGAGGGATGGCACCTGCACTCACCAGGGCACAGCAAGGGGGGTCCCCACAACTTTGGGCCAGCACACGTCCCTTCCCTCAGCCCTTCCTCAACCTCAGGCGACCTGTAGGGTGAAGGAAAGGAAAAAATACCCAGCAACAACAAAAAAGTTGGGAAAAAGAATGTGAAGCTCGAAGAAACAACTGAAGCCCCATCCTTTATCCCCAGTGGTCAGTGGCACAGATAACATTTTTCAAAGTGTAATTGCAGTCAATTGTACTTTCCCCCCAGTGCCCGTCAGCTCCTCTTCGCTGGCGTGATAAATGTTGGCTTTTAAGCAAGAATGGATTGATTATTAATAGCTTAGATACCAGTTACAGGAACTGCAATAAAACTAGATTTTAATTTCCCTCTCTATTAAGGAATCTCATGTTTCATTCAGCGTAGGGAGAAAATAGGGGGTTTCGCAGAGATATTAGATTTACTGCCACTATAAAAGATCATTGATGGACCCGACTCTGGGTTATATTTGACTGATTTTTCAACAAAAGGCAGCTGAGTCTCCCTGTACCTGGCCCTGAACTTCTCCAGCACCAGCGAGCAGAGGGTTTCATGGAATCATGGAACCCCAGAATGGTTTTGGTTGGAAGGGACCTTAAAACTCATCCAGTTCCAACTCCTCTGCCATGGGCAGGGACACTTCCACTTTCCCAGGTTGCTCCAAGCCCTGTCCAACCTGGCCTTGGACACTTCCAGGGATGGGGCAGCCACAGCTTCTCTGGGCAACAATTCCACATCTCCAGTGGCTTCAACAGTGCTGGCTCCTGATCTTTCCAGCCTCTCTCCCTTGCACTCCTGCTCACCACTAAACCCCAAATCCCTGCAGAAAATCACTTAATCAGGGTAGGGGTGTTTGGGCTGTGATTTGTGTCTAAATCAGGAGCAAAAGCATAAAAGCTGCCTTGACTGAAGAACATAGTTGTGCATTTTAATCTCTTATAACTTACTTTTATGATGTAATTCTGAATTATGTTATTGCATTTGTATTTAGAGAGCACACCAGATGGTGCATGCAGTAACACTTTAAATTAGGGTTTCCCAAATACACATTAAATTTAGATTTAATAAGACAGTTATCACATGGGAATTAAATACCAATTGATTATTTAGAAGATATCACAGCTCAGCAAAGTGTGCAGCTCAGCCATGTTCTTGCACAGCAGCTGGAGCAGGGGAAGGACACCTGGAGGGAGCTTCCAGGGATCCTGCCAGGCATCAGTGGCCTCTCTGGCTCTTTGTCACCTTGTTGGTGACACCTTTGGCAGTGGAGGGTGGACACAGAGGGAGGGACACTGCTGTCCAGCATCACCCCTGGGTACATAAAATCACATTCCTGAAGGTGTGAAGGTGCCTTGAAGGCACTTCCAGCCACATAAACCCATTTACATCCCCTTTGACCAAGCCCTGCACATCATTTTGGGGCACACGAAGGGGCTCATCCCCTGCAGAGGGTCCTGGTGGCACAGGGGACCCCGGGGACACGGGACAGCTCTGCCTTGGGGGTATCCCAGCACAAGCCCTGGGGGATCCATCCCTATCTCCATGTGGGCAGCAATCACAGCTCAGATGTGAAAACATTTCAGATCTTTTGCTGCCGCTGCTTTACTTTTTTTTATTATTATTATTATTCCAACCAGCAATATGCTGCTCATGGACTGCGGGTAATTTACTTTTCTAATCAAATTGATTTCCATTCAAATGAATTCTCTTGTCCATCTCCATTCCAGTAATGTTATTTTAGGCATAAGCTGTGCCTTGGTACAAATGTCTAATCAAAGGGGGAGATGCCGAGGGCACCGCGGCCCGTTATGGTGAATCACACACAAGTGAAATTATAGATGCTTTTAGATGCAATAATTTATGTATTGTAACTTCTGGTGAGGCCCAGGGAGTGAGGCTACATTCCCCTCCTGGATTTATCTCTCCTCTTGGTCTGTGGCTCGGCATTTTCTGCTTTTTTTCCCCTCCTTTTTGTCCTTTCATTGAATTAGGCTGATCTAACTCCTCTCCCAGAGTGAGCAGAGCCCTGGGAGGTGAGGGTTGGGTGAGGGCTGCTGGGATCTGAACCCAGCAAGGACTAAACCCATCACCAGGGATTTGGGGTCCCACCCTGCTGTCCCTGCCCCATCCCAGCCCCAGCACAGACAGGATCACCAGGGCCAAAACTCCAGTTCCTGGCTCACTTGGCCCCGCTCCTGCAGCGCATCCCTCGGTACCTCCACGCCCGTGGCAGCCTCCCTGTACAAATGTCTTCATTGTCACCGTGCCACCGCTGCTGTCCAGGGCTGTCCCCATCCCAGTGCCACCCCAAGGAGGTGCCCACCTGCCATCACTCCAACCCACTCTTGCCACTCCCCACCATCCCTTCGCCAACCCCAGTGACGTGTCCATCCTCTGGGCTCAGTTCCAACCCATCCCTGCCACCCCTCCACCAACCCTGTGGCATTATCACAACTATCATCATTATTATCCTTAAGCTACCCTACACCAACTCTCCAAAGCCCCTCCTGCAGCCCTGCTCGTGGCTGATGGATGTGCTGGTGGCACGGTGAGTTTGGTGCCGGTGTTCTCCGGTCAGCGTCGCGGGCACAGCGGTTTGTGTTGGGAGTGATGCTCTTCCTACTCTTCCCCCTTTATTTGTGTTTTCTGTCCTGCACAGTCTCTCTGAGCCGTCTCAGGCGCTGGAGTGCTGCTCTACTCTCGATTATAAAATGGCTCAGTGCAAAAGATGCATATAAATAAGAGCAGCCTGAAGTGCTCCTGAGCCGGCGGCGCAGGGAGCGCTCGCGGATGTGATTTATGGCATCTGCTCCCCGGGCCCTGCTGGCATCAATCTCACACTTCACTCACATGTTCAGAGGCAGGAGGGGGAATGTTGGCACCCCTGGCACACACCCTCCTGCTGCTCCCTCCCCTCACTGCCCCCCAGGCACAGCCTCAGGAAAGGGGGATGTGTGGGTGGATCCAGCTGTGACCAGGGGCTCAGCTCTGCCAGGGTGCTGCTCTTGCTCCCTTCTCTTTGCCACGTGGCTGAGAGCAGGGATGGTGCCAGGTTCACACGGGAGCAGCCGGATATCCCAGCCCCCAGAGTCTGCTGGCTGCCCACCAGCAGGGACCAGCAACAAAGGCAAGGACCAGCAACAATGGGCAACATCTGCAATGGGCAACTCATGAAGTGACCAACTCCTGCAATGGAGGAGTCACTGGAGGTCAACTCCTGCAGTGACCAACTCCTTCTGCAGTGACCAACATCTTCTGCAGTGACCAACACCTGCAATGGCCAATGCCACCAATGTCCAACACAAGAAATGACCAACCCCTGCCATGGCCAACACCTTTAGCACCAGTCAACACAAGCGTGACCCTGAGAAGAGCTCAGCCGGCCAGAGCCTGGTGCTAATAATGCCAAGGCTGTGGGTTCAAACCCTGTGTGGGCCATTTGTTTAAGAGTTGGACTCGATGATCCTTGTGGGTCCCTTTCCAGCTCAGAATATTCCATGATTCTGAGTTCATCTGCCTGGGGCCGCCTAAATCTGCAGCAAGTGGAACAGGTCCCACTGAATTTGGGCTGGTGGCCCCTGCCCCCTGTAGCACCAAGCCATGGGGGTGGAGGTGCAGAGCCAAACACAGAGAGTTTGAGCGGGTGCAGTGCTGCAGATGGAGCACATCCCAAGAAAACTAAGGCAGGCCAAGTCTTAAAACTCAGAGCTGCTCCCAGAAACCCAACAGACCACCAAACAGCCATTTTCAACACCCTGGGGCAGAGCACACCCCGTGGGTGCCCCCATCACCTCCCTCAGCCACCTCCCTCTCACCTGGAGGGCGCCGCCAAAATCACGACCCCACACAGGCAGGGGGAAACCGCCTGTTTTACAACAATAGCAACAAAAATAACAACATTAATGCCAAGAAGAGACCCTTCCCACCCACCCCACGTTTCTCCCCCGGTTCCCCTCACGCTGCCGCAGCCCCAGGGCCCACAGGGCCTGAATCCCCCCCTCCCCTGCACGCTTTCCCTCAGCACATTTCTACAGCGACGTCGTTTTCTTGGTTAAATAACTCATTTATCTTTTTATACTCTCTGCAGATCATAATACACCCACTCTGACAATACCGCACACCAAAGACCTAATTTTAGCGCGGGTGTTTAGAAGTAATCAGTTTGAAATATTGGAGCGGGCGTACGATGGGCTCGGGGTTTTTATTTTTTTTGTTGTTTTTCTCTTTTTTTTTTTCCTTTCCCCCTGAAATACTGACGTCTGCAAGAAAGCTGCTCATAAGGAAAATTCTGATTATAACAACTCATTTAGAATAAATCAGTTTGAAATGGTTTATATAACGCGGCGGAATGTGCCGTACGCGAGCATCCAAGTTTCTGTGTTTTTCCTTTCAGTGAGACGAGATTAAATGAAACCCCAAATGCAAGTGGTTTTGGGCACTTCTATTTTGCTAAGCAGAGGGAAATGCAGCTCCTCAGCAATTTTATGGCCAATTGGGTTGGGGAAAAAAAATAAAAAAGACAAAAATGACAGAGAGCAGAATTACACCCTCCCAGCTCTGACACCCCCAACCCGCTCCACCTCAGCCTCTTCAGCTTTGAAACCCTTTTCCCCATTCCCCATCCCAAACAGGACATCATCCCCCATGACAGCCCCATCCCGGGCAGCACCAGGAGCCCCTGGACCTCCCAGTGCTCCAGAGAACCTCTCCCGGTACCTCGTCCCCAGGAGCGCTGCATCTTATGGAGCATCCTCACCTTCTGCCAGGGCCTGAGCCACACATGAGACTTGGCAAACTCATTCCACGTGTCCAGGAGCTGTCCTGCCCCTGTTTTCGGAGCCTGGTTAAGGTTTTCCCCTGGTGGAGAGGCTGGAAGGTCCAATGGAGCAGGGAAGTGGCATTTTCAGCTGGTGCTGCATCCTCCGGTCTCAGCCCCACTCTGGCAAAAACACCTGAGTGAAGATCAGGGGGGCTGCAAATTCAATTTTAAATCATTTTGCACCATTGCACATTTAAATCACGATAATAAGAATAAAAATAACAATAAGGATTATTTTTTTATAAGTGTGGAGGGAGGGAGTGTGTGATGTGTCCAGAAAAAAAGCCAAAAGATGCCCAAACCACATCAGGAGAGGGAGGAGAGAGCCCAGAGCAGAGTAGGGAACTCCAAAACCCCCCAGATTTGGGCAAAACCCTTCAATTGGCCAAGTTTGGGGGTTGTTTCATACCTG